GTTCAGGGACAGACTGCGGTGCGTTCAGGGACAGACTGCAGTGTGTTCAGGGACAGGGGAGGAAACACTCACCCAGAGCTCCCTGGCAGATGTCCGTCCTGGTGGCTCCGCCCACGATGAACTCGGGGTTGGAGACGAGTTCCTGATGGAGGAGATCAGAGCGTCACAAACAAACCAACATGGCGGCTCCTGGGGGAGCTGCAGGAGCTCTGGGAGCAGAGCGTCACTGCACAGGAGCCACAGTGAAATCCATTTCAGATGTAAATGAATGCAGCCTCTGAGTTTCTGTTTGCTTCCATCCGTTTGAAACTTTCTCTTCTGCTGCTTCCGCCTGTAAACAGAGCAGAAGAACTGAAACATGTGAGGCAGAGAACGACGGCGGGTTTCCTCCCTGAAGCTTCTCTCTGGGTTTTTCCAGGAAGCTGCTGATGACTCATCTCACGTCTGACTCACTGAGGCGGTTATTACAGCAGGATTCCTAAAATCACACAGATTATCTATGGACTCTGGCACATGACTAGCGCACAAAGAAAGGTTCTGCTTCAGTCACCGGGTTCCGCCTGACTATTTGTTGGTACATTTCAGAACTCTTGCATAGTTTAAGGGACCTTTCATTGCAGGACTTTAGTTGACTGGTTGGTTTAAATGTGTTTTAGAAATGATCTGAGGTGATGGAACCAGACTGCTGTTCTTTAGGAGGAACTTCAGACAGAATCCTGCTGATCTGATCCCAGACCACTCTGATGTTCTGTCCTGTGGTGTTAAATCGGCTGTTTTCTGACTGGACTCTGGCCCATAGCTAACACCGTACAGTAAAGGTTCTGTCATGACGGAACCTCTTCACAGCTGACGGAGCATCAGCAGCAGAGCCTGGGCCCTGGTTGACTCTGAGTCTGACGAACTGGTCCAATACTTTGGGGGTGGGGGGGGGCACTCCTCTGCAGGTATTCTGCCAACCCAACAGCGCCCCCCCCCTCTCTCTCTCTGACCCCTCCCCCGCCTCCGGCTCGGTTCGGCTCGGTTCTTACCGTGGGCCTCTTCCAGGTGACTCCCCGGACCTTGTAGGAGCTGCGGCCCAGTTCGTTGAAGCCCAGAGCCTCGGGCGCTGCGGGGAAGGTGGGGTCGCAGAAGAGCTTCCCGGCGGAGCGACACTGCGCCCGCAGCGCCGCGAAGTCCTGGTTCAGGTACCGGACCGCGTTGGAGTTGGTTCCGAATCCGGCGGCCAGAGCGCGCTTCTTGGCCAGAGTGGACGCCACGCCCGACATGATGCAGCCAGAGAGGTTCGACAAAACTCCGCAGATTCTTCTCAACAAAGTTTGGTGCCTGAGATCGGAGCCGCCGCCCCGCCGGAGGAGGAGGAGCTCCGCCCGGACCGCAGCTCCAGATGTGGCGCAGCAGAACCGAGCCTCAGCGGTTCTGTTCTGGTGTGTGTCTACAGAGAGTTAAAGAGTCCGGTCCGGCGTGGCGTCACCGAGTCGGAACCAGACGAACATGAACCCTTGACAGACAGCAGAAGTAACGCCGTTACTGTTACTGTGATTACTGCGTGTGAACTCTGATTACTATCAGCACACTGACCACAAGCTGCTCACTTCTGAAGGTTCTGCACGGATTGGATGATAATTCATTAAAACTACAACCGATCCGGACCGAACTGGTTCTGTTTAAACTCAGACTGGACCCACGTGTGAAGCAATAAATAAACATAAACATGATGATAAACATAATAAACATCATAATAATAATAACAATAATAATAATAAACATA